TTTTAACAGTCTACAGTATGGCATTTTTACAGGCTTCGGTCATACACAGCTAGAACTTTAAAACATTATGCTCAGGTTCACAGGAGGTAGCAGAGAATCTCTTTGGTCCAGTCATAGCTTCAGTGACCAGAGAGCCCACTACTTACACTAACTGCTCTTCTGCAGCCGTTCTCAACTTCTCTATAGGAAAGCCTGCAGGCAGACAGGATTGCCAGAAATAGTCAGGAAAGTGGACGAGCTCGACTTAAATCTCAATGCAGCAACTTAACCTGTGCGCAATAACACTGCAGGTTAAAAGATGGTGCAGTGAGGTTAAATAACATCTCTTGGTTTACAAGGAAAAACATGAGAGAGAGAGCAAGAAATTCCTCAAAAGGAAATAGAAAAAAAAAAAAAAAAAAAGTTGTATAGCATAAGAAATATAAATAATGGAAAAATGGACCCTAAAATTTTGTAAGCTCAGCTACTCTGGAAAATAGTTACCTCCAGTTTTTAAGAGTACTTTGCTGCATCAATCACAAAACAAATACATAAGCACTTTGAGATATCTTGATGTCATTTCTGACCTGGTTGAACAGAAAGGCATTTTCAAAAAGGATACACTTTCAGCCCTACTTTCTACAACATAAAATCATTCACCATCGCTCTTTTCTTTAACACCAGCTATGATAAACCCCAGGTAGAAGCATTTATCTTCCCAGCATTTATGTAAGAGGAGAATATTGTTGATCCATTTTGAAGAGGATGAATCTGGATACATTCAGCAGAGTTAAACTAAATCCCTAGTACCCCACTGAGAAAACTATCAGAGCAGGGAAAGGAGCCAAAATGCTCCAAAGGCCAGTCTGGAGTAACCATAATACCAGCCTTCCACATCCCTGTTAGCTGCTTAAGACACATGTGAGGGGCTGAATGCTCTCATGTCCATTGAACTGCCAGCCTCACAGAAGCTGCTCTTTCCCTGCATGTGCTCCTGCACTGTGGGCCTCCCTCGATTTGCCTCTGATTTACGAGGGCTCTGTCTTCCCTGCCCAGCTGGTAACAAATTTATAGGAGCTGTGTTCTCAAGTCTTGTTAAAGCAAAGGTGGTGCAAAATGAATGAGACTTTGGGGAAGCATTCGATGAAGACGTGTACTGGTGTTCCACCTCCAGCAGGGGCATGGATCTCCCATCAGTTCCTTGTTGTCTGCCAGCCCCATGCAGATGTCTTGAATGTCCTACAGTGTTTCAGATGGCACTGAGTGTCCCAGCTGGATGACAACTGAATCTCTTCCTCGGTCCCTTCTCTGCAGTTTGCATAGCTCTTGATTGTATTTTCTCAATTATGCTGAGAGTCGTGGTCTCTACCCATGGTCCCATACGGGAGGCTTTCCAGAACTCCCGAGAAGTGCCCAAAGAGACTTCAGTCAGTTGTGTCATTTGCAAACCCCCAGACAAAGCTGCTCTCAGTAGAACAAAATAGCAGCTTCTCTCATGGCAAATATATTGTCTTCTAATGCATTTCCAGCAAGGCTTATCACAGATTTTCCTCTCTTTCTTAGAATGTAAACTTTCTCATAAATGTCTGTCTCCCGTGGCACTAATTTGACAAAATGCTGCCGTAAGTTTCATTTTGTCTCCAACTGCATGAATGACTGCCGAGGAGTAGTTGTGTATTGTAGCCTGAGCTCAGTGAAGCACTAAAGGCTGTAGTTTAGTACTCACTTTGCTCAGTTCTGTGCTCCTGCACAAATCTCAGCTAATCTACATAAGCAATAAGTGAGCAGGCTTCCAAGAACCGCACAAGTTTGCCTTTTCGAGCTTCTGCTAAACACTCACGAGTGGTGTATTTTTAGCACCTCACGTTTTACCAGAAAGGCAGCAAAAAGGTTATCAAGTTCTTCCCTACGTCAAAAAAAAAGTATGTGTGAGAAAATGCCACTGGTAATGTTTATCCAGAATATAAAACGTAGGAATAAGTCCTATATTTTTCTTGGATACTGGCCAAAACTGAGCTGTCAACAAAAGAAAAGTGTATAGCGTTAGAAGGGAAGAAGTCTTTGAAAAAAGTAAAAATCAGAGGCCCTCTTGTTTTCCTTTCCAAATGCTGTTGTGTGCAAGAGTCTTTTCAGTCATGTATTTATAAACTATGTGAGCTACTGGAAACTACCAGATTTTCACCTCCTGAAACACGTATCACATTTTAAATTCTCAGTGCTAAGAATTTCAAGACGGGCTCTGTGATTAATACATACTTTCTGTCTTGCTTTTTTTGGTGAGTGTGGAGATGAAATGAACAATAGCTCTTTTAGGAATTTGGAAATGCACAAGAAAAGATCTGCTTTTTCTGAAGCTCTCTCTGTAAAAGAATAAGAATCCTTTCATTTTCACTGCATTGTTCTCTTTCCTTCACAAAAATTCTCTGAATTGGATATTATTATCCTGGTTGTCTAGATAAGGAGATTGAAGCAGAGATTGAGAGGCAAATTACGTATAGTCTCTGCATAAGTGCACAGAGGATAATAAAAGAAACCTTTGCTGACTGTTGTGCCCATCAAGGAGAAGATGATTTTGCTATAAGGAGTCTTTGAAAGATTCTCCCTGATTGACATGAGAAAAGAGCTGGTCAATCCAGTGAACCCAAACTACCTACTTGGAACATAAGAATCCTCATTCTAGCTCTAAATATGTTTTCCTAGATAAATCACCCATAAAATCCTCAAGCCAATTGTTTTCATTATTTCCTGGAGAAAGCCCAATACCTATAACCTTAGTAATACAGATTTTGCCTGTGTTGAAGAACAGTCAGGCAAGAGACAGAAAGATATGATCAAGTACCAAAAGGTGGTGAGCTGGCACAGCCTTCATGAAAATATGGTCTAATTCTGTGGTAGATAGGGGTTTACACATGTATCTTCCAAGGTTTTTCTCAAGCACTGTAGCCTGAAGCACCTTCTTCACAGTAGCTTAGAGAAAGGGTCTCAATGTATGTCAGTAGTTTACTTCCAACTGCTCACAACTATCCCACAAGACCATCTTTTTAAAGAGGAAAGCAATATTTACCTTCCATGCTGCATATCGTTTAGCTGGTGCACAGTTTGGATCATTTTCCCGTCACAAATGGTTTCTTTGAGTTTGCAATTAATTGGTTTTAAAATGCACTCAGAAGAGCAATTATTTTTTATTAATTTTATAAAACTTTTCACAGCAAAATCAATATGACATTCAGGTGGTTCATACTTTCTGCCACCATAAAGTTGAGAGTTTTGTTTGCCAGACTTCTACCTCAATCTGAATGCTGAAGTAAGCTTAAATCTTTTTATCAGTTTGCTCAGATGAATGATCTCATTGATCTGTGTGTGTGTGTTTGTTCAGGGTACAGTAGGACTGCTGCCTTTCAGCACCAATTGCTTCTGTTGGTGACTTTGGCTGAATTGTGCCACCTTTCTCTTAATCTATCATGTGGAAAACTCAGTTTGCCATGATCTTGCACTATGAGCCTGAGCATCATCAGTTCACATCAGTTTCTGGGGATATTCAGAGCCTGCCAAAGCTCTGGTCAGTGGAAGATTATGGAAGAAATTATATTCTATGGCAGCACTGCATCTCTTCCTCTGTATTCAAACCTTGATTTCATCCTAGTGTAGGGAAAGGAATCAGGCTCCAGGGCTGCTACTGAAGATGCAAAGAAAGGAGAGGCGAATGCAAAAAAAAATAAAATAAAATAAAATAAAAATGAAATATCTGGTGCTTGAACATGTGCTTTCAGTTAGTCCTGTTAAGAGCAAGAGAAAACTAAAGCAATCAAATAGCAAAAAACGAAGCTACACTGTTAGAGATCATTTAAATCAATGTCAGGTAACATCCATGAGTATTTATTCGGTAAATTCTTCTAAAGGGTAATAGAAAAGTAGTATTTTTTCATGATCTTCAACAAACTACAAAAAAAAAAAAAAAAAAAAAAAAAAAACAAGTCATGTTTCTTTATCTATGATATTAAGGGCTTGATATTGAAAAGGGCAAAGTTGCTTCACCTGACCAGAGTGTGTTAGGTGTGGTTGGCAGGGAAAACTATTTTGTCAATAAACTAATCACATGGGCAGAACTTAGAGGCAGTGTCACAGATGACAATGTTTTAACTTCAGGTGAGAAACAGGTAGCTATTAAAAATGAATTGTCCAACATAACATCCTGGTTTCGATTATTTAGATAGGAAAGCTCTGCTGGTCAAGATTTTTCTTCCTAAGAAACAGAAGGTCTGTTGTGTAACAGGTTGTCATGTGTATTTTTTTTTATTTTAGTTTTGTTTTGTTTTGTTTTGTTTTGTTAGGACTCTTCTTAGTTTCATCTTCATTTTCTTTTTTTCTTCAATAAGCCAAGACAACACTTGGCACTCATTCTGATTTTAGACTTGTTTTAGATCATTGTACAACTCCATCAAAAACCATATAGTTATTTCTTGGCAAAATCAGGCCACTCGATATGTTTCACTAGAAACAGCTCTCAAGGGATTAGTTTCTCTTTACTCCTCTCCTCCCTCCCCCCAGGATGCAGAGCGATTGTCTAACAGTATTTAGCTGTATTTATTTTTCATTGCCATGCAATTTTTATTTAATTAAGGTGCAGATTTGTTGGCATAGAGTGTGCACAGGATGGCTAGCGGTCTGCTTTAAAATTACGTGGATATGCAAAAACTTTGCCTTGGCATATGTTGCTTTTCTGCGGTCCAGCTGAATTGCATGCTTCACAGTGAGGCCAGACCATTTCTTTGTGACAGGGTGTATTAATCCTAATCTTTTGATCACCAGCACACGGAATACGCTTGGGCATCACTGAAGTCCCTCCTAAATGCGCATGTGTCGGCGTGGTTTGAGTCTCTAAGGCTGCGTATTTTTCATAATTTGGGGAATGGATTTCAGAACCCCAGTGGAGCCAAAGGGGCTGCAATGAGAGCATATTTCAGAGCAACAGTACAAAGCAAAAAAGCAGGACACACAATGTGTTTTTTTCTCTTTATTAGCAGCAAAAATGAAGAAATAACTGCAGCTAAGCATGGAAATGAGGATGTATTCATTGATGCACAACTCCAGCAGACTTTGGCTGACCTGGATGAAGATTTAGAAGGTAGGGAACTGTGTAACCTCTGAGGTACAGAAGACATATGCATAGCTGGGAGGTACTCAGTCAAACATCTGAGACATCTGCACATTTCTCACTGAGATCACTGGGAGCAACTCACAGGTCTGAGGCAGAATGTGGTGCACCCAAAGGAGCTGCTTTCCCTTTGCTTCTGGGGCAGCCATTCCTCATAAAACAGCACTGAGTATTTATCAAGCTGTTTATCAGGTTGTCATTGTATTCTGGTGTCTGCTACTAGGAAGAGATGATCAGCAGTTTGTGGACATATATTGTGGGCCAAATTTGGTATAATTTCATGGACTTCAGTGATGCTAAATCACTAGTGAATTTAGCTCTCTTTTATAAACAGTACTTCTGCTGCATCTTTTATCCTAGTGAAGCAAAGAAGGGGAGACATTTTGGTCTCCTCTACGTGTCTCCACTACATCAGCAGACGTGTGTTGTAAAGTTAAAAATCGAAAAATGCAGGAAGAAACAATGGGAAGAGATAAAATCTAATCACAAAGCAATAATGTGCTTCTGTTTTTCCAGCTGTGAATACAAACATTTCACTATTAATGGTTTGTCATCAAATGATGCTGAATACTTTAAAACTTTCCATCTTTATTTCAGTACTTTTGCAGTGGACTTCCAATTTAATTTCTGTGAGTTTTCGAACACTGCTTTTTCTTAGCTTCTGTGTTGTAACCCTTTATTTATACCAGCAAATTTGAGAGGAGAGTTAAGCTTCTTGCACAATGAGGCTTCTGGAGTCATTGGTAATGAAGGAAAACGAAAGAATGGAGAAAAAAAAATACAAGTACTGTTTCTTTGTTTGCTTGCTCAAGGAAATCCTTCAGCTGGGTTGTTATTACTAACCAGGTCTGGGAAACATAATTTGGAGTTGCTCACTGTTTCTCAGAAGTGTTTCTCCTTTGGAGTCATGTGGTGAAATGTTTATCACTGAGAGAAGTTAGTCAAAGATAAGGTATGAACAATAGATTAAATTCTGCTTTCAGCTGCATTTATATGTTTCCCACTGGCTGAAGCAGGAGGACTGCAGGAATATTTGGCTGATCCTAATCAGCAGCCAGACAATAAAAAGGACCCAGATCTCTCCTTTTTTGTAATACAGGCATAAATATATTCCTGTTAGTTTTTGTGTAACTGAAATATCTGATATGGGTAACTTTGTGTTAGCTGTTTGTCTAATTTAAAGTCATATTGCCTAAATATTGCCTATATGTAATACTATATGTGTATTTTGCAGCAATGGATGTTAAAAGTAACTCTGACTCTGAGTGTATGAGTGAAGTGCTGAGCCCACATGTAAGAAAAGTTGAGGATCCCCAGGATGTTGCCAGTTCTGTTCCAGTGACAGTCATAGATGATGTTCCAGAAGTTACCATCTCTAATTCACCTAGAAACCAAGAGACAAGGGGTTCACGGAACTTACTAGCTGACTCTGTCAGTACAGGAAACTTTACAAATAAAAACAACAATGCGGGTTCCTTTGATAAAGGGCACACAGATACTGGAGCTGTATGTAAATCCAAAGACCTACTACATCAGCAACCATCTGAAAGTGAATTCGTTCACTTGCCTGTGGAACAGAGGAGAGATATGTTTGAATCTCTCACATCCTCCTTTGAAAAAAGAAGTGAAAAGAACGTAAGACTGGAAGCCCCACCCAGGCATGGTATGAAGTCTGAGGAGTGTAAATCTAAGCTGATTCCGTCTCACTCAAAGACCACAACTGAAATCAGTACAGCAAAAGAGAAAATAAATCCATATAATGAAGGCAGTAACAGAGAGAGAACTCTGAAAAAAAGTAAATCAGAATTAGAAATCAAATGGCCACCAGCAAAAAAAATTGAGGCAGAAGAGGTCCCATCAACACCCCCGTGGTGTCATCGTGCCCAGAACTGGGGAACAAATTACGAACCCAAAATGGGTTTGACAACCTTTAAAGTTGTCCCTCCCAAACCTGAAGTAAAACATTCTGATAGAGGAACTTCAGTCTCCACTGGTGCCATTAAGATAGACGAACTAGGCAACCTTATCAACCCAAAGGTTGTGGTCAGTAAGAACATACCAGGTTCCTCTACTGGTGAAAGTGAGGAAATTCCTCTCGGGAAAGTGAAGGAATTTTGGAGGTCAAGTTCTGTGGAAAAACAAAGCGATGACTCTGCTGAGCATCTTGCTAAAAAGCCAGCAGTTAACACAAACTCTAAGTCCTTCGCTACAAAACAGGAACACAAACCTGTCAGTCCTGCAGCTCCAAAACCTGTAGCACCACAAACTGTTACTTCCCAGGTAGCTGAAAAACCGTCTGAGAACGAAAAGACCAAACCACCTCTTCCAGTCACGCAGTCTCAGGTAAAACCATTAATGGCCCCAGCTGTTAATAAAGACAAGATGGAGCTTCCGTTTCTAAAACCTCATAGGAGAACTTCAAGTCAGTATGTCGCCTCTGCCATTGCAAAACACATCAACCTACCTACCTTTAAGCCTGACTCTGCAGAATTTCATGAGAAAGATGAATATAAGCATGGAGCAGGAGAGGCTAAAACTGAAGCAGAAGTTTCCCCCAAAAGGTGTATTATTGTGGACAATTCCAGCCCTGTGGAAACGGAATCGGCAGAAACAACAGAAAAAAATGCAAATATTTTTACTAGCAGTCAAAAAGTATCCCACAGGCTCACACCTGGTGATAATTCTGGCATGGAAAACAAAGTAGTTAACATCAGGGCACCAAATCAAGCAACTCCTGCTAGTTTCTATAAAAAGAATGTCAGTGTCCCACTTACTAAATCCTCTCTGAAGGATAACGACGGTACAGAAGATGAGCACAGTTTAAATGGCAAAGAAAGTATAGCGGAGAAAAAGAAGCGTCTTTTGTTGGACCAGAAATGTGAGACTTTGCCCCGTAGTAACTCAGCCTCCTCTCTCAAGTCACCTGATCTCCAAGGAGTCTCGCCCCCCTTCAGCTCGTCTTTGCGGATCACTAAATGGCCTCCTACTGACAGCATGCAAGTGAGTTCGCTGAGGGCATCGCCCAAGTTAAATGGTGTGACAGCAAAGGCAGAGTCAGAACAGAAGGACAAACCTGATGATTCACTTACTAATGCTGTTGGCGAACTGGATGTTAATGTGCAGACCAATATCTTTGGACCAAAGAAGAAGTTCAAACCTGTTGTCCAAAAACCAATTCCTAAAGACACGTCACTGCACAGTGCCCTAATGGAAGCCATTCAAACAGGAGGGGGAAAGGAGAAGCTCAGGAAGGTAAAGTGGAGACTTTCTTTAGTCTGTTCATATTGCAGAAACCCACAGAAGTCTGACAGACACAAGAGGTTTTATAACTTACCATTGCTGGGGACCTGGAGTACACATGGCGTTTGAAAAATTTATAGTGGCAAAATGCAGCCCAAGCCACTGGTGGTTCTGCACGTCCTGTATGTTACGCAACACCATTGCTGCTGCACTGCCTAAAAGAAGCAGAGGTTGCATAGATACAGCATGAAGGAGAGGTAATCGAGGTTAGCCGAAGAGCCTAGCCTGCATTTCGGGCTGTTATGTAAAAACAAGAACACACAGCACATAGAAAACTTGTAAAAACCTGCAAAGGAAAGAAAACTCCGTTTTGTATTGCTAGGTGATACCAGCTTGCCACTGAGTGGCATTGCTGTAAGCACTGATTTTATGCTTAGGGGATATGAGACTGAATCTGTAAGTGTGGAATTACTAACTGGGACCTATGGGTACCCTCACCATTCAGTGTGAGCTCAGGTTGTAAAGCAGGCACAAAAGCAGACAGACAGCAGTTTCCATAGCTTGCATTCTGGTACAAGTGCTAAAAATACTTTTAATAGTGTTTACAAAGTATCTCTAAGTAAATATCTAAAAACAATCTGAGGTTTATTCTTTTCACATTCTAGGTTTCAGACAGTGCACTATACGGCAATCACAACAAACCCTCATATGCTGAGCCAGAGAATGAGCGCTCAGCCCTGCTAGCAGCAATTAGAGGCCACAGTGGCACCTCGAAGCTGAAAAAGGTAAGAAATCAAGATGATGAGTGGTCTCCTAGGGGCAGTCTGTGCCTGCTGAGTGTTCCAAATAAACATGGAGAAGATGCAAACTACAAGTTGTGTTGCAAAGAGAAGACTTTAGGGAGCGAGTGTGATGATACAAAACCAGATCTGACTTATGCAGATAGCAGGGCAGGGCAGATTCTGCCCTCTGCTATAAAACTTAACATTTCTTCAACCAGTGTGCTTTTAACTGAGAAAGAAGTGTATAGAAATCCAAATGGATTACAGTGAATGTACACTGGTGACATCAAATGTTCATCACATTCACATTTTAGGTGTTGCTTTTTCCACTTTAGAGGTATGAGGTTAGGTTAATATATTTGCATTTCCTTCCGTATACATTCAATTCCAGCTACCTGAAAAAACACTATGACTTCTCCATGCGTGCTGTTTATCTGTTAATATGAGCTGGTGCATGCAAGTCATTGATGGAAAATTTCAAACACTTTCACCACAGCGGGATAATTCCTTCTGTCTGAAAGTTTTACCTAATCATTAAAGCATCTCTTATTCCTAATAGCCGAAGCCTGCATTGTTCTAGCCTTAGTTCACTAATCCAGCCAAGGATGTGTATTTGGCAAGGAGGTTCCCGTTTCCCTCATGCAATGACTCAGGCCATTAGCACACATCCAAATAGCTGGCACTAGGTAGAAAGTCTCCCTTGTCTCTGTTAGGGACTTATTCCTTCCCTCAGAGCAGTTCTAAATACCTTACTGCCCTTGCTGCAGATAGGGTGCAGCTTCCTGGGAGCTTGAGAGCAGAACATGCAGCGCAGCAGCCATCTTCACGCACACCTAACTGCAGCCTGTGCTAATGAGGAATAAATGTAGATCTGTGCAAAAGAGGCTCTGACAACGAAGTGGTGTTGTATTGCCACAGAGACTTTTTGGAATACTTTCCTCCCGCAGAGAAGCATTTGCCATCGTTTTAAAGGAAGTTGCCTAGAAACCGTGCGCTTCTTTTTCACACTCTGTCACCTGTGCTAGTTGAAGCATCGTGTTTGTATGTGTACAGGGCGGGATATAGATGTGCTGTGATGAAAATGCTGTCTTTTCATGTCATCTCAGATGTTCATGTCTTGTTTGACATTACATGATTACCACGTATTTGTCCATGTCTGTGTGTGTGTGTATACAGTGAAGGAATAGAACATAGGAGCTCTGTGAGTTTGGATTATTTGATGGGCAATGAATCCTTTGGTTTTTCACTAAGGAAGTGTTGTGCCTCAGTTTCTCTGCAACAGAATACTAATGCATCTACTTGAAGACCTCCTGTTTGGCACATGGAACTGAATTTCCTAATAATTGCCAAATCATTTGATTACAAATAATTTATCATGATTATTACTAGTAATGTTGCTAATGGCAAAACTATTTATTGAGGCAGTTGATGGAAAAGCTGGCTTAGTCTGAAAGATTACCTCCTCCCCTGCATTCATTTTAACTAGAAAGAGTTTCCAAGTAAGTAATTCATGCAGGAATTTTAGGTTCAGAAATTCTACAGAAAGCCACTTGGAAGAGCAATCAGTTTTGTTCCCACTGCTTCCACATTGTTCTCTCTGGTCTTTCTTTTCTTATTTTTTTTCCAGTGTGGCTAAGATCTTTAGGTTTAATGTTATTTTTTTTCAATGAAGCAATGAAATCTTAAATCTAGAAGAGCCTCTCTGTCATATGAGATTATTTCCATGCAGCATAGAATGTGAAAAGTAATGAGATTCCTGGGTGGCTACTGCAGCCTTAATATATATTCCTGATTCCAAAACCCCTTGTGGTTGTTTCCAAATGAATACCAAGTCCAACTCTCTGTCTGTTACCTTACATGCCAAGAAGAGTTACAGGATGCTAGAGCTCACAGTAAATAAAGATTGAGTTTCTGAGTCAGAGTCAATGCCAAATCCTTGATGCTTGTAATCAGCCCAGCTGAGTGATGTGAGTGAGTAGTAACAGATGTTCAACCTCATGAGCAAACAAAAGTTCTACATGTTTTATGTCATTCAAGCAAAGTGAAATTGGGGTACTGAAATTAAAGTGCATCAAATGTCAAGTAATTACTGTTTAGTCATGCTTGGTATTAACTTCCTCCTTTCAACTGCATCATGAACAGATCTCCTCATTGGCTTCTGAAGAGCTCCAGAGTTTTAGGAATGCAGAGCTGTCCTTGCAGAAAACAGAAGACTCTCAGGAAGAGCTATTCTGTATCCCACCTGCCCCTGCTCAGCCACCACCTCCACCACCTCCAACTCAGCTGTCAACAGCAGCTCCTAATTCCTCTGCTACAACTGCAGGTGACCCTGGGGAGGCAAGGCGAGCCCTAATGGAGGCTATTCGCTCTGGTGCTGGAGCAGCAAAGTTAAAAAAGGTAAATTACTTTTATATTTCTATGTGGATGAAGTAATCTGGGGCTGCTGTGCCCTGGGAGCTGTTTGTAAGCTGTGCTAGCCACACATTTCTTTCTGCCATCAGGAGAAAGTATGTGCAGTGTTTTCTCTAAATGAGTTAAAGATCTAGCATATTTCAAACCTTTGAATGGGTATTAAAACACACTATTGAGGCCAAAACATAGCTGTACATACATGCAACAGTATGAACAGACAGTACTTTTTTGAAGAGAGCATGAATATCATTTCAGAAAGCATTCCCATGCCCTTTTCCATTATTATGAATCTGAGATGATTCTGAATGTCCTTCAGACTAGGTGAACTTAAGAAAGATCAGATGTGAGACCCTGAAGCAAATTTAGAGATAAATTCTCTCCCAATTTCAGTAGTGTGTCCTAGACTTTGAATCCCAACATTTGCACCCTGATCACACAGAGATGAGAGCTGTCAGTAAGACTGTGGCTTCTTTTTAATGTCAGTCTGAACTTAACTGTAAATTGGATGATACGTGTATCACTCCTGTGGTCATCTGTGGGTTACTTAACTCCCAGATGGCTAAATGTTTGGTTGTCTGGGTATGATTTTTTGGCATAAATTCACTTATCTCTTTGAGCGAAAATTACTCTTCCTAATCTTGTGTCACCGTATGTTTCTAGGTGAAGGGAAGCAGATTAATTGGTTTGAGTGGAGTTATCTTAATATTATACTACAGTATCAAAAACGGACTTTGATCCACAGACTTTCGGGAATGTACAGAAACAGATGCCATTTTCCCAACATGTGATTTGCCTAATGCCAGCCTTAAATATGTAAATAGTCTTTAACCTTGCTCAGTTGTCCTCTTTAAAAAAATTCAGAAAAGATGACCAAATTTCAACAATAAAAAGGCTAGCTAAAGAAATCTGACGAACGAGAAATTCCACAGAATCATTCAAAGTGTTTCAGTGAAGTTTACATCAGCATGCAAAGAGAACTCTGGATGTGCAGTTATTTTGCATGTGAAAAGCTACATCTATACTATGCATACTAGTAGAAGACTGCAAATTATGAAAAAGTAATACTTTTTCAAGGTAAAAGTCAGGCCTTTGTTTCCACACTTCACCAGTTTACAGAAAAAAGGGGGGATTTCAACATTCAGGAATGCTTCTTGTGGTTCATTGATTTCTAGATCTTTTCAAATTCCTCATTCTTCCAACTGCATAACTATTGCAGAAGTCTCTGGGGGGACCTGTACCACTACTCATTTAAGCAAGTCTTTAACATATCCTTGGGGATTTACTTTGAAACAGTTGGATGGCCATTGCAGTCTATGAAAGTAATCTTGATATACTGATATATTCTGCTAAACACTGTGCCTGTCTTCTTTCATTTTCAAGACAGAGTAATTTTTTGGTAGTTTTGACATTGAGATGACAGGAGAGTGCATCTCTTATTATGTAGGTCTTTCAGGAAAATAAAGAGAGCAGTATTTTGTCCAAGACAAAGTAAGATTTTCTTATTGTTGTGCTGTCCTCCATGATATTGGATATTCAAGCTAAGTCTTGTATATGCTAAAGGAATCATATCGCTTTGACATCTGGTATCTCATGCCCTTGATCACTGATAGAGTAAGAATGTCAGATTTCCCAAAGAGCTTTCTATCTAGCATGTATTAATCTCTCTCCTAGTTTGCTATGTTAAATGAGAGCTGAATGCTGATATTTCCCCTGTAGTTGGACAACTTGTGATAGCAAAGTTGAGTTGGTAGAAGTATGTATCTGCATATCAGAGGTTTTTCCTTTCACATGTCTCTTTACATGAAGAACGTGTCTCCAAAGAGCACTGAGGTTTTGGTAGAGAGTAACTAGCAGGTGGTTTTGCATCAGCACCACAGCAAACTTTTTTTCTTTATTTTGTCTTGTCTGTCCACGATCTATGATGTCATGATTTGCAGGTATGAGCACAGAGCCTTTTTTGGCTTTGCTTTCTAGAAGATTTTGGTTTCGGCAACTAGACAGCAGACTGGGAAGTTCAGTTCTGAATTGTACCTGTTTCCCTTTTATTGTCTTCTCGAAGTTTGCTGGAACAAGGGCTTCTGATGGTGAAGTCATTTATTTAGCTAATATTGCAGAGAACTGGGAAGGATCTGCATTGCTTAGTTATGTATGACTCAATTTGGCCTTATTTATGAGGGGTTATTTGCAATGGAAGTAGATCAAACGGGGCTGTCAGGGCAACCAAACATAAAAAGCAACCAATTGCCTAGATAAGGAGCATCCCAACCAAAATTTGAGCTCTATTAATATCTGTGAAAAGGCAACTCCTCCACTCCACCCTTGATTACACAGCTGTTTGCTGAAGTCATGAACTTTAAGGTTAAAAGATCCACTGTGCAGGAAGGGAGGAAAGAAATTGCTGCAGGCTGACCCTGCCTTGCTGCGAGTCAGGGTCTGCACCACACAGGCTGTAAGTGGGTCACCCAAAACAAACTAGAGCAAAAATAGGTACTTGAGAGAAATGCCAAGTGAAGGTACGACAGTATGTGCACAGGTCTCCTGGCTGTTCTTTAATCCATTTATTGGAGTACTGTGCCTGGTTTGGCAAATAAATCATACTTTGTTTTGAAGAAACGGCTTCTGTTTTATTGCACACTGTTGCTGTCCACAGACTCCTGAAGGAAAATTCTTGAGGGTGCCAAGCCCAGTTGGTCCTCCTGAGGAACATGGTTCATCCCCAGTGCAGTGCAGTGCAGTTCAGAGACCTGCCAGAAAGGAGGTTAGATTTCATATCCTACCCAAAGGGAATAGAGGTGCAAATGTGATGAGCCTACCATGCTGGAAAAGATTGCAGGCAGCAACCTTTTTCTTCAGTTTTTAGAGTGGTCTGTCCTGCAACCTGGTACGTGTTTAGCATGTCCAGAGTGTAACAGCAAGTCAGGGAGATGGTGTGAAGTAAAGTCATTGACCAGGACAGATGACCTAGTTAACGCCTTTGGCAGTTAATTGACTTTAGAAATAAAGTCACCTCGCTAGCAAGGAGCCTGCTTCCTAGCCACACAGTTTGCCTCCTGTACAAAGGATAGTCAGTCGGCAGGGGAAATAAATAGCTGATCTGAGACCAAATATTGGCTAATTCTACTGAGTCAGGTTAGTAGAAGAACTGTAACATCTGAGCTTCTGGTGTTAAAAGTGAATTAGTGTTTTCTTTAAATTGCGTCAAAGAACTTTTTGTCACAAGTTCACGCGGTTAAGATCCTTATGATTAGTTTTTAAATGTTTTATTTCTGTCTCAGAAAATGCAGCCTAATCTGGCTAGATTTCTGCAATTCTGTGTATCATTACATGTTACACAGACACAGAAGTATACTTGCCTTGGGATTTACTATGATTATCTGTGGAAAAATAACATAACTACACATGCAAATAACCCATTAGATGTCTAGCTGTAGGTATAGTTGCAGCACAAGTCCATGCAGGATGGAAAATCTTACCCAACAAAGAGAAGTTAAAAAAGTTGCCTGTGCTGCTATACCATCTACTCATATTAGGTAGAGTTGTACCTGGGGATTTGGTAGAAATAGTGCAGCAGAATGTGCCTGCACAAGGTGGGGAAGGCAAGTTGCATATCTGAAAAACATGCTTTTGCTCATGGAAAAATGATTTCTCTAGACCATTTTTAATAGTATGTATGAGAGGTGTTCTACAGACTTCACATTTCCCAGTAAAGATTAGAGCCAGACATATTTAAGCAGCCGTTTCTAAGTTAACAAAATGAATTTGGCTCTATCACAGTATGTACAAGCATTCATTCCAGTGTTTGGCATCGGCATTTAGTCACATGAACTGTTGATACGTGCAGTGTATCACTCTGTTGGCAATCAAAGGAGCCAGGTAAGGTAATTACTGCACCTATTACAATAAGTCAGTGCTGTATGCTGGTATAATTTGAAGTTGGTTGCCAGCAAGTAATACATCGATCTGAATTATGGCATGTTCAATGTCTTCCAGGGAGTATGGCCTAGTTCTGTACCCTTATGTCTTTATGTCTAGCACTGTATTATTTTTCTCATGTAATCAGAGATGTGGTATTCTGAATGAAGAAAGACTGTTTCTCATCATTGTTGTCTGTGGGAGCAATGACAGAAATTACAGACTCAAATCCACTGTTGATGTTGGCACTGCTATGCTGGAAATGGGGCAGAAGACCCCACTTAGAGGTTGGCCAAGCTTGATATACAGGTAGTCAAATGAGCACATAAAGGGATTCTAGTTCCCATGCATAGTTAGAAGCAGTCATTTGCATGTTGCTACTTCATTTGAATTGAAAGATAAAACTTAATTTGAACTCTTCACCTTGATAATAATTTGTACCATGGCCTACTTTTTTCCCTAAGAATAAAGTTTCTGCCATGGATACTAAGGCCAATATGGAAGGTTTAAACTTAATCAAATACATTATTCCTGTTTAGCTTTTGTGGTGACATTAATGTATATCTGTCTGATAGAATCAAAGCTCAGCAACTTTGATTTTGGAAGAGTACACTGGCATTAAAATTAAGCATATGCTTAGATGACCTGAGGAGTAGGAAGGAAGATAAGCATTTGTTTAAGGATTTTCCTGAATTAAAGGCTATGGGAATTTCCTTCAGTCAGGAAGTAAAGTACTCATCGATTGATTTATGTGACCAGTGACAGCTATCCGATTCTGCATAGATGTTGACAGTCAGATATTGCATGCTTACAGCCAGGGTTTCTGTTCATTCCACAAGATGAAGGAAGTTCACAGAACAATGTCACCTACATTATAGTAATAATGTTACTGCAACTATAAAATCTAAGAGTATGTGAGGTGTGTGGGGTTTTAAGCAAGGATAATATAACCTTTTATTAGACCAACTGATACACCTAGAAAAAAAAAAAAAAAAAAAAAAAGAACAGATAAGCTCTAAGTCTTAAGGAGCTGATGAAGAGACTAGGCTTGAAAACAGCCCCACAAGAGAATGTTTGGTTAACAATGTCAACAGTTGAAGGTTTAAAAATATCTTGAGTGATCATGTGCTTTTCTTTGTTACAGGTCCCTCTGCTCGTTTGAATCATGTATAAAGAACAGGTAATTGGAAATCTAACCCCATATGCACCCATAATCATCATTCAAGGTCTGAAGTGGCAAAAAACATCAAGAAGTTTAGTTTATTCTCTTGTCTACGAGCCAAAATAAGTTGTAGTTAATTTTCTGTGTGTTCCTGCATAATGGTTCTAAGGGAAAAATGTGTTGCTCTGCTGTAAAGCATCTGTGCCAAGGAATTGTGTTTTGCCTCTGAATATTTAAGGTTGCCAATAAACTATTCTTGTTGGCAGGTTAATAAGAATATAAACACTGTGCAGTCCTGTGTTAATACTTAATTGTGTTTATGGGCAAAATAAAAAGGCTTTGCTAGCTATCTGAAAAGTAATATTCATTTCAAGTTGTTAAAAATATGTAACTGTTATAAACTCTTCACTTGCTTCTTATTTGGTTGAGAAAAGGGCTGAAAGTGATCAGGGAGAAAAAAAAGAGAATAAAGATCTATAGAAAAAAATCACAAGAAAAAGGTTACGGTACATTATGAGGGACCTTAATTTTCATATGATGGAGTCTTTTTTTTTTTTTTTTTTTTTTTTTAAGATTAGATAAACTTCATATCTTTGGTGGAGCTCTGTGAAAGCAGGCAATCAATAATGATTGAGACTGTGTCTACTGAAGAGTTACTTATGGGATATGACGTATAGAATACTAAGCTGTATAGATATACCGAACCCTAGTAACGTTTGTGGCACTTTAAAAATACTGAGACACCTTAAGGGATCTCTATTTGCGACAGACTGTGAAGGTTACTAGTAAGATTTCAGAGCACTGCATAGAGGTCCAAGGTCTAGAATTCATTCCCGCACTGCAGAAGGAAGTGAAGCTGGTTTGGATCAGTAGTCAGGACTTAGTCCCTTGGTCAGGTCATGCGTAAGTTGGCCTTTTGTTTCCAGGTTGTACTGCTGTTGTATGTTGTCTCATGAGTATTTATATAGCAGCATCTTTTTCAAATGTTAACTACTTTGGTAGTTGTTGTTGTACATATTTTGAAAATATTTCATTAAATTGAAATGATTAACTTATAAAAGAGGGATCAAAATGCTTTTTCGTATTTCCTATATTGTAATGAAGTGGAGGAAGAGGAAGTTTGTACATTTACACTTTTATAATCACAGGCCAGAGTGATGGTAGATCCTTTTTTTTTTTTTTTTAGCTGAAATTTAAAATGTATGCCTATGTAATGTTGAGAGCAAGAGAATATTTAGCCATCTGCATTTAATATGACTGTATATTATATATTGTAAAATATTGATGTCTGTTAGTGCCACAAATAAACATAAAATCAAACCTTACATGGCTTGAAAGACTCTTTTTGCCAAATGTTTTCTGTTTAAAAAAGGAAAGTAGAACTGAAGATGCTCTTAAGCAAACCAGTATGCAGTGTTTGATATCTCAGCTCTAATATAAAATGTCTCAAACAGAAAAGGGCTCGCAGCTAATACTTTAGGAACACAGTTAGAAATCAACAACTAGAATCAAGGTATCAGTTGTATACATTTTGATATTAACCCAGTTCTGCTAAAGATCCATTTCATCATTAGGGAAGCTAATATGGTTAGAATTAAGGTCTTCTTTCACACCCTAAGATAAATAAGATCACTTCTGTTGACTGGTTAGCCTTCTTATACCTTAAAATTCTTCTCACTGTCCTTGAGATAAGAAATATTAACATGATAAATTGCTATTGCAGGAAAAGGTTCAGTCACTCATAAGCTTGAATACTAAACAGATTGTCCCACCAGTATCAAGTGCAGCTTCCTTGGTGAGGTGCAGTGAGATGGAATTCATTGCAGTTCTTCCTCTTGTTTTTCTTACTGTTGTCTGAAGGCCTGGGTCTGTAGCCCTTCATTCCTAATGCCCCTTTTGTGTAACGAATTGTGTAGATACATACTTTTCGAAGTAAGGGATCCAAAACTGGATTCTGAGATAATAAGATACTCCAGTCTTTGAGACTCAAAGGTTCTGTCTCTGGCTGCTGCATAGAACTGAAGTTCATAAAATATTTATTCTTGGATAAACTTCTAGTTATCAAAATCCCATGGCAAAGAAGCTATAAGATTAAGAACAGCTGCAAGATGAGATGTCACCTTCAGTGTGACAGGAAAAAAAATAACAAAAAATCCTGCCAGTTCACTCAGAGCTCAAGCTGAAAATGGAAAGGGAGTTCAGCTGTCTACAACAAGAAGCTGGACTGGGTGTGCATTCTTGCTGATGGGAGATGTGTGTGCTGCTAACATTGTCATCCCAGGTACTGCAGAAATCCTGGTAGCAATTTAATTTAAGTCCAAATTAATGGAAATTTTAATATAAGCCCATTTTGGATGAAGTCCAGTTATAAGTATGACCCTTCCATTCAATAACTTTCTGTGGAGACTTTCAGCAGTCTTCATTTGGGAAGTAAGCATACATTGGTGTTTCAGTGAGTGTCAGACAAGCTCTTTTGGAATCCCTTTGTCATGTCACCCCCCTCTTTTACTGTGATTCAGGACTTGGGAACTGGGTTGCTACTGGATGAAATTGATTTGGGAGATGCAGTCATCACAATTTGACATTCACTCCATGAAACCAGACTGGAGTTTGTCATAAGTTAAAGGAAAAAACCCTGACAGATACCTGGTAGACATCATGTCCTCAGCACCAAGTATTTAGATTTATCTTCTCTTATTGGTCCACACAGTTTGCAAGTGTATGTACAACCTATGTCTAGAGGTCTGCGTGCCACATAGATTAGTCTTTGATGTGTCTTTTCATGGTACCTTCAGATGGACGATCTGAAAGCTGGTTTCTTTCTTGAGGGACCAAAATAAGAGCAGTGAGCTCCCTTTTTCCACAGTCTATCTCTTGGCCTTGGCTTTCCCTACAGAACTCTTAACTTGACCAGAGGAAAGTCTGATACGCTCCTGGTTCTTCTGGTCCTTTATATTGCCCTTTTATCTGGGTAAGGTATACATGTAGTCCAATGAGGTGAAAAATAGTATCATCAGAGAAAATGAATGGAGAATCTGAGTTTGCTATCTTTATTCCTTGTGCAGGTATAAATCAATGTTCAGGGCTTAGAGAATCCACTCTCATTTCTCAAAAAAAAAAAAAAAAAAGCCACCTCACCCCCTTCTTTTTTACATGTTTTTTTTTTTTTTTCTTGCCGAGCTTGGAATATCACTCAACCATAAAGCTAGCATTAAATAGCTCTGATTAAATATTTAATTTTAAATAATATTGACTGTCTGCATGAGCTATTTGACTTAGGGGACTTCATTATGGAAAACTTGTACAGACAGCCTGCTAATGTTGGTCATGCAAAGTATTGGACCAAAAGACTTTTTGACATGTACATCAATCTACGGTTTTGAACGTGGCAGGTTTTAACTTCCCCAGGTCATTCAAGTGATTTGCACAATTTATGCTACATTTACCACAGCCAAAAATTGGCATTTCATCAGTGTGTAGGAAGAAGGAAGAGAACAAGAGATGCAATTATGAAACAATGGAAAATGCCACCCAGAGATAGTTTGTGATGTTTTTCCTCTAATCTCTCCAGAAAAGAATCAGTTCTGTTGTTTAGTGTTGCTTAGCAGTAAGCACGTATTTTAATTTGAATGCAAAAATCTGCACAAATCTTCATTTAAGTCAAAGTTTGTCTGAATGAAATGTTCATAATTCGGTTCTTTGTTGGTGCAATATGAAAAATAGTTGTCTTCTACAACTGTAAATTAGCACTTTTAACATATTTAAAGTATTTATTTGTGCATTATTCCTCTACTCGTCTTTGTTCCTCCACTGAGATACATGTGTACCAACACACTTTGCCTCTGAAACTTGTATTGAGATTATGTGGATATTCCTATTCTTTCTCCACTTATTGCTGTTGAGAACACAAAATAAAATATGCTGCACCACATGGGAGCTGTAGCTTCCATAATGGTTGCATTTCCCCACTTGCAGAAAATGACTTTTTCAATGGCAGAGTTTCTTTCTCAAGGACAAAATGAAGAAAAAAAAATAAACGTTGTTCTGATCTGCTATTCTATTTTTCTGAGTAGGGTGTGGAGTTTGATTCATTGCTGATGTCTTCATTTGGCTGGGGAAAGTTTCCATGTAGTTCAGTTCCCAGGGTTGTTCAACAAAGTACACTAAGATGGATGAACCTTTCTAGGAGCAAAAAGGTATTTCTTTCTTATTACTAAATATTTTTAAGTGTATGTTAAACAAGTGTAGTTGGGTTTAAGTACTAACAGACTACATGATGCCACACCAGATATAAAAGTCATGCTCTCCTTCTAGTTTTGTCTAACAATTAAAGGGGGAGTTGTTCCTATTTAAGCAGATTTCTGATTTGTTGCAATATTTTATCTTTAAAAAGAGAGAGAAATTAGAACAACTTAACAGGAATACTTTATGTTCTTCACACTTAAGGAGTTTAAGAACAAACTCACTTTTCATCGTCTGTTCCTTTCCGCCACTCACTACACACACACACAGAGTCTTCTTCATCATTTCAGGAAATTAGTAGTTGTTGGAAAAAGGATCTTTACCAGTGGATCCTTTTTTCATTTATAACAGTAGCCTTTTTATCCTGTGAAATAGCAAGAAAGGCAGGGACCAAATTTTTATGCAGTCACAACAGTTGTACACAGTCACTGCTGCAAGCTCCAGATAATGTCATCTTCAGCCAACTTCTTTTCCTTTCACTCTTCTCTACTTTTTTTGTCTATATGCTTATAAAAACATGTACGTGCCATGTCTCTTTTCTTCTGAGGTCTTTATTGTGTTTGAAGTCCTAAAAGGTTTCCCCCTGAACAAAGCACAACATTGTTGCAGTTGTACATCAGGCTGAAAGAGGACATTATTCCTACACGAACACGCTGTCCACTTTGCAATTCAGGAACTGAAAAGAGGAAACTGTACTGAAAGAACAAGACTGTGGAACATCATTGTCTTCTATATTGTAACCTGTGTTTACTGCAGTAGGAACAAAGCAAACACAGTGCAAATATGCACGGCTTTCCTTTATCTGATTTCATGCATCCAACAGAAGCGTTTCTGTCAGATGTACTTGGATTTGTTCCTTGTAGCGCTTGGCACAGGGAAGGGGGGTCACAACTTGAGGGCCCTGGTTTGGGTGGTACCACTGACTTGTGGTGTCACTTCTATGTTTTTCCTCACAACAAACCACTACGTGGTCTGATTTAGCCAGCATGCAAGTTGGCAAACCAAGTGCTAACACTATGCTGATGGACAAAGGCTCTGGTGAGAAGCAGTCGAAGAGGGGAGCAAGTTGTGGTTCAGCCTTTGTGCAGCTACAGTACCGAGGTCCTGGGAGCCAGCTGCCTGCATGGTTTCCTCTCGGTCGTAAACCAGAGGTAATGGTGAGGGGAGAGGGAACTGGATGTGTCTGCCCTCTGCCTAAGTCAAGGAGCCAAGGAGCCGCAGCCCTCCCTTCCACAGCAACACGTACCAGTGCCAATGGCACGCAGGGGGAACCTCAGTGAGCAGCAGCCCCACCAAAACACTGGGATCTGATACCTGCACTGGGTGTTGGAAGTCACCAGGGAGATTCTGAGACTGCAAGCATCTCTGTCAATACAACCACATGCTCAGGTAAAAGTCCTCAAAACCAGATTCAGCCATCCCTACTGTAGACTCATTGCTGATAAAATCCAGCCTTCACCACAGCTACAGCCCTCAGTCCCTCGGTCAGCTTCAGCAATGGGTTCAGGCTGTGTTATCCCTGACCAGCAAATGCTGAGCACAGGGCAGTAATTTGGCCTTCCCCCCAGCACATATTCCCTTGTTCATTAGCCTCGCTGTTAATGTTCCAACTTTCCAGCTTATGGAAGGAACTGTCAAAGGCAATTTGCAGATAGCCATTGCTGCAGAAGTGCAAAGAGTTATATTTTTATCTGTTGATGAATAATTTAGCACCAATTCTGTGTTATGTAAAATTGCTGCTCTACTGCTGATAGGGCCAGTGTTGGTATGAAGCGTTTTTCTAAGCCTAGCTACACAGGTTAAAGCTTGCCAGTTTTATCCTATGCATCTGCCATGAGGCAGAATTTTTCCACCTTCAAGCTGGGAATCGGTGCAGGTCTTTCATTCCAGGAGAGGGCAGTTCCCTATCCTCCTCATTTATAGTCCTGATCATCCTACGTATTTTACAAATAGCTTTGCCTTAGATAGTATATATTGATTAGTCCAGGTGTTCTCCACAGGAAAGGATGAGATGTAATTATTTTTTCCATATAAACACCGTGGAAATCATCTATCCTCTTAGACCTTTGCGTTATGTGAAGGA